TTCTGTGCAGCAAACACAGAAACGGTTAATTGCGGTTTGATACACACCTCTTGGCTGTGCATTCCTTCTGCAGCTTGGATAAGGACTCTTTCTCCTCCTTCAGACGCTCGTGCTGAGCAGAAAACGAATCCTCTGACAGAGACAGAAAAGAAAAATGTAAATTATTAGGTATGTGTTTGTTCTGGTCTATCTGAACAGCCAGCCAGGTGGGCTCGTGTTTGGTTGGCTGCCATCCGCCGTTAAACCCGAGCAAGATCAAACAGCTGCTTTGATGAGCCCAAAACATTTCCTTCTGACACAACATAAAACCTAATGACATATGTATGCAGATTATAGGATTAGTCAGACAGTAAATACAGAGTTGGGGAAATGAATAAAATCAGACAGAAAAGTGACGGGATGATACAGAGTGAGGAAGTGGCGTTACCGCAGCGTTGGCGAGCTCGCAGTATGCACGTGAATAAAGCAGAACGATAACGGCTAATTAAAGGTTCGAACAGCATGTTTCTTGGATAGAGCATCACGTAAGATTACAGGTAAATGCAGTAGAAATGCATCGAATATTTTTGCTTTGAACTCAATGTTTACAGTTGTTTTTGGCTTGTTTACACAGCGAACGATTTAATTTTTATCCCTTTCAAATTATGAATAATAATCATTACAAAGGAAATAGGAAAGCAGCCGTTTGCTGCGTGACGGGGTGAACTGCAGAGACGTGCATTAATCTCACATTTCACATCAACTTAGCAAAGCAGTCTGTGCGTTACATTCTGGCTTCGCCGCATGAGAAACGTCTGTCTGTCTCACAACAGCGTTCTGAGTCGTCTGAATAAATAGCATCCTTTCATGCAGATAAAAAGGGATTTTGATGGGAAAATTGTTATTGGATGCGAAGCGTCCTCCCATAAAGGCTCCTCTCCTTTCACATGAATTTCCTCTTCAGGTTTGGCTGTGGTTAGCAGCCGTTTATCGCTTCTAATTCCTCAGTGGGAAGCAGTTTTGTTTAACGGTAAGAGGAGATGGACAGACGGCTGATCTGAAATCACATGTGTCTAACATTCTTGGCTTCATCTAACTGGTTAAGCCGTGACGGCAGCTCCTTCTGAAGTTTTTCTATAACTCTAGTTCCTCTCAATGTATGCCGTCAAACAAAGAGTTCGATCTTTAATACGTTTGCAGAATTAAACACAATCTAGCTTAGAATAATTCACATTCTGGCAAATGTAACTCATTTTCAGAGAAAGAAGAATTTAAGTGAAATGCATTTTGTTTACAGTAAATATGTAGTCAAGCACATTTAAGT